ATTGTTGAAACCATCTTTATGGTTGAATCATAAATGATTGAATGAATATTGTAATTCAAGCTAAAAATGCAATCAAAATGATGAAACGACAATAAAAGTTCACTCTTACTATTGAAAATTTATCCTTGCTATAGTAAATTCATTGCTGCCATTATAGATGGTTTGTTGATATTATAAATTGTTTATTGCTATTGTAAATTCAATGTTACTATCGTAAATTCAATGTTGCTATTGAAAATTCAATGTTGCTATAGTAAATTCAATGTTACTATTATAAATTGATTGTTCTTGCTATTGAAAATTCAATGTTTCTATTATAAATTGATTGTTTTTATTGTAAATCCAATGTTGCTATTGAAAATTCAATGTTGCTATTAAAAACTCAATCTTGCTATAATGAATTCAATCTTACTATTGAAAATTTATCCTTGCTGTTGAAAATTCAATACTGCCATTGTAAATTCAATGTTGCTGTTGTAAATTCATTCTTGTTATAAACTATTGTCATAAACTAACACACGCCAGTTACTTTTAGTGTTCGGTAGATTCAATGTTGAACCATAAGCGGCAGGGTTTTCGTATCGGCTGAATAGGACAAGAATACACAGAATGGACAATGGCCATCCAGTGTATTCTTCATGTGATACGAGAGAATTTCTCGGCGATAAATTTCCAAATCGCTGGATTGAACGTAACGGACAGGTATCATGGTCGGCTCGTTCACCTGATCTAACTCCACTCGATTTCTTTTTGCGGGGAAAACTGGAGGATTATGTTTACCCCGAGCAACCAACCACACCAGAGAACATGCGAGAGAAAATAGTTAGGTCTCGTGCATCTATTCCATCGGGATTGGCTCGAAAGAGTTTCAATCGATTCAAAATCTTGTGAAACATTTAACACTAGGACATTAAGTCAAAATTACTGATTTTTTCTATTAGAGTGGTTCAAAAATTTTCAAATGTCTGTATTTGATCAATTATTTTGTTTAAGTGCATATTTTTACTGTAACAAAAGTGTGTAGGTGAAATATAAATTAGTTAAACGGCATGGTAACTAAGGCAATGATTGAGATATTGACATGAAACAAATGGCATTTAATAACGAAAACTATAGAATTCCATGAAAAAAATTCACATGATCCTGAAGCTTCCAAATTTCTTCAAACATTTTTTTCTATTTTCCAACCTTTACTCGATATTATGACATTGCTGAATCTTTTTAATAGACTCAGGAGTAGATTCAAAAAATCGTAACTCGGACAATAATTTATATAATGAAATGACATCAAGGACATTTGATAGTATAAACCACATACATTCAGGAAAAAATTTCATGTGATCCAAAGAGAGAATTTCAGATATTTTTATATAATTTTCTTTATTTTCCATTTCTTACTCGATATCATGACTTTGTTGAATCTTTTGGTCAAACGTAGATGTTGATTCAAAAAATCGTAACTCGGACAATAATTGAGATATTCCCATGAAGCAGATAGTGAAAATCGATAGTGAAAACTGCCTACATATGTATGTACATGGAAGTATGAACGACCACATAGTTGTCAAAAATGTTGGCTGTCCGAGCGTCAACTAGAATTTCTTAATTGTCTCCGTAATTGGCGGAGATTATTTTTATTTTACGCAGGTAGAGATCATGAGTAATTTTCTGTTCAAATGTGTCTCGAGAAACATTATGTATAAAGGGACGGCTTTGGGGCTCCGCATGAGATTTAGCCGCGAGGTCTCATCACGTGTAGCACACTCAAGAACAAAGCCAACGGCGTAGAAGAAGTTCATCAGCACTGAGAAAATTTCCCACACGGTAAAGAAACCTACCGTTTCCCGCTTATGTGTTGGAAAAAATACAATGCCACCAGCCTGTCGCGGAACTAGTCAAACTGAAACATTAAAATCGCATCATGTGTACAGGGTGCCACAATATTATATGTCAGGAACAACATAACCTGTTTCTAGACCCACGGTTTAATGGATATTGATGTAAGTAACTTGCCGTAAAATTGACCTTGACATTTGGCAATTCATCGTGAAAAATCAGAGATTAGTTTACTTAAATTACGTCGTTTCTTCAAAGGAATTTATGTAATGTTAAATTTGTTAAATTACTAAAGTACAAAATAAAGTTCGCTTTGACATGAAATAAAAATAATAATGTACCAGAAAGATTCCATTATTTGTAACATTTATTTGTTATATTTCAAATAGAATATGTGAAACAAACAGGAGTTGAATATTGTGTAAAACGTTTAATTTCATTTTAAACTATATTTATAAAATATATTTTTGGAGCATACAATTTTTTAAACAACATTCTCGTAGTAAAAACTTTTCCACTTTAAAAACTACTGTGCGACGTTAAGAAGTCGTTGATCGTTTCGTAAAAGTAAAGACACACATTATGTATATCGCGAAGTCCTTGGCACGGTGGCTTTAGTATTTCACGACTTCACACGTCAAATTAACCTTGCGTGCATATTTAAGTTTGGTGCGATTTCTATAGCGGGCTATATTTAAAGAAGTGTGTGTGAATTGCTGTTCTACTGTGTGACTCGTTACTTCCTCAGTGGTTCGCTTCGATCTGCGTCGACAATGAGAATGTTTCTGTTAACTGTCCAACCGCCTAAATATTTAATCGCTTATGCTATTTTTACAATTTTCAAACGAATTCGAAATTGATCCCAGTATTCGTACTTGTCGGTTGACTGTGGTTTCTATTGAAACAAATTCTATGCAAATTGTAATCGAAAATTATCACACATGATAATTGGGTGAATTGGTCTTTGGTGTTTGGATTGGTAGGATTGGGATCACGTGTTTCTAGCTCCATCGAATTTACAAATGTTTAGTTGATTTAGTGGACTTGTCATTGGTTAAACACATACAAAAGAGAAATAAACGCGAGGAAACCATAATGCTGCATTAATTAACACAGGTTTCCGGTTAGTTTGGTATTTAAATTCATTCGGAGATCGAGGTTAGAAAGTGAGGTTAGGGCAACCAGATACGAATGTATAAGGGAAAGGTGAATATGCAAGGAATGAAGGTGTAAAAAGAAAAGAGTTATTGCAAATACAGAGGAAAATCACATATTCGGATAAAGTAAGTATAGCAATGCTGGGAAGACAGGCAAGTAGTAGGAAAGTCTCAGATAAGATGAAAGAGAGAGTGATGGAAAAGTTCTTAGAATAGAAAAATATGGGAATAGAGGATCTAAAAGGGGAAGGGAACGATGGAATGGAAGAATGATGAAAGAAATGAAGGAGCAGATCACAGAGCTCATAACAGAATTAAGAAAAGAGTTGACGGAGAAAAGAAAATATAGGGAAAATGAGAGAGAAAGGGAGAGAAAGGAATAGGAAGATGAAAAGAAGGTGCTGGTAAGTAGGATAAAACAGTTGGAATACAAAGAGAAAAAAGGAGAAATAATATTGTAATTAAAGGAGTAAAATAGGAGAAACAGAAGACGGAGAAGCTTGTCAAGAGAGAGAGAGAGAGAGAGAGGGAGAGAGAGAGAGAGAGAGAGAGAGAGAGAGAGGAGAGATAAGAGAGAAATTATGGTAAGGAAAAAGAAATCTGAGCAAGAAGTACATAATACATAGAGTATGACTTGATGTACAAGTCTGAATTTTCGTGGAAATCTTCGTTTTTGTAATTAACTTTCTCAACATGAAAAGTAAGGTAATACAACGTTTGTCCACTGAACAATTTCTTGTGATAAAATTGAAGTAAAGGTAGTGTTACTTTTCACTTAATTAATATGTATATATCTCCTGACATTTCGTTAATTATGTTTATGGCTATATCTCTTGGATTTTTTAGTTGAGAAAGAAATACTATATGAAAAATATAATTTGATTTTTCACATAGAAACCGACAGAATTGTTTCCAGATATTCAAAATTGTATTTAATACGCCGCAGGATATATTGAAGAATCTGTTGCATTTAAGAAAAATTGTGCATAATTTAATTTGATTTTTTACACAGAAAACGATCGAACCTTTTCGAGGTATAGTTCTCACGCGGCAAGAAGGCGTCTGTGTGTTTACATAGCTCCTCTTACTAGCTATCCCACTGCCGCAGTATCCTATTGCTATTGGTCGAGAACAGTGACGAAGTCCGCCGTCGGCCAATAGCGACCGATAG